TTACTATAGTGTATACACTAACATCAGAACTCATTTCGTTTTTTTTTTTCTCATATTTAAGTTAGGTAATCCCAGTGAGGTTTAAATAACAAAAGCCCTTATTTGCACAGGAAAGCAAAACCATGAAGGATTCTGGTAGTAGTAGTAGTAGTAGTAGTAGTAGTAGTAGTAGTAGTAGTAGTAGTAGTAGTAGTAGTAGTAGTAGTAGTAGTAAAAGAATGATGCCATCTCACAAATGCTCTATTAGTTATCTTTTCTTCCCATGCCTTAATTAGAATGTAGTTTTTACAGTGACTTTCATGAACGTAATATTCGGTCTAGAAGCGCGCGTCGTTAGGAAAGCTGCAGATCGGATGATGAGATCATTGGGCTAGTAGTAAATTCGCTGATAATGAATGTAAATTCCTGAGTCCATTGTGGATGGAAGCTGTCCCATTTCCCGTTTTGGATGATGTTTCCCTAAACCCACCTGCTGTTATCGTTTTATATCATTACCTAAACATTGGATTGTTATCTTTCCTCCATTTTCTTAGCATGTTTCATAATGTAACTCCTAGCCTTTTAAATATTATTTTCTATCAGTATTGTATCTATATATTATTTTAGTTTTGAAAGTTTGTGTAATTATTTTCAGGTTTAGGCTTAAATTTTTCTTACTTACTTACTTACTCTTTTTGATAGAAAAGCTGATAACAATATACTTGGTCCTGTTCTCCCAGAAAATCTTTTCAATGGACTAAGAAGACTAGAAATTCTGTAAGCTGCATTACATTTCAATTTCCTTAATTCATATTCCCTTCTCTTTAACCCTCGGACGTAAAAACAAATTCATACCCCCACCGTGGTACCGGGGGGGGGATGGAACACCTACCCGAAGTTTTTGATATGTTGCAGTATTTGGAAACGATTTTACCTTTAGTGGAAAGCCTTTGATGTTCTTAACAAGATGAGGTATATTTTATGGGTGGTGGCGCTGCTGGAGACCTATGACGTGACCAACAATGGTCGCCATCTTAGATTTTACCAAGAATTGGATATCAGGTTAAAACCACGAGAAATGGTGATTTTTTTTTTGGTGCTTTAACTGAAAAATAACACATAAATAAGCACTTTGCATGATTATAGCCACAAGATTTGCTTTTTTTTGTTCAAAGAAGTTGAAAAAAAAAACATGTACGATTTTTGCAAACTCAAAAATCGGCCTTATTTACCTAATTTACTGTGACCGAATTTGATTTATAATTTTCTCAGTCTTTTTGTCTTGAAATCAGTAAAGTATAAATTTCTGGATTGCATAGGTTGAAGCTTAATTGTTGTAACTTTCTGGTTTTAAGTAATTAAACGTACGTAAATGGACGCTTAGCTAATTTATATTAGTATATTGGGTATGTGAAAGGGGTATCATTAATTTGTCAATAGAAGGTATGCGGAAAGGGAACCTTTTATACCAAAAATGGTTTTTTAACAATTATTCTACGAGCCCAAATGAGCTCTGAGTCAATAGCTATTGAATCAGAGGCCATGAGAGCGAGAGGAATAATTGTTTTAGTAAAATCCAACTATAGTTGGTCAAAAATATCGAGACAAAACAACTTAAGCTAGCAAAACTTGATTCATCCGCCATTGTTTTGCATATAGCCTAGTAGTAGCTCAACCAATCAGAACGCAGCATGCATAATAGACCTCAGTTGGATTTTGGACCTCGGGGCAGAGCTTTCCCTAATAAAACTAGTTGGAGTACCTTTTGGGTTTGTATTTTTTATTTTCACTTTTTAAAAAATCGAAATCATGTTCTAAAAGTACATGACATTTTCATATTTTAATCTTAGTTTTCTTTTATGGAAACTCTCTCGCAGTAAATCAAAAATAAGAAGCCCAACGTATCGTCAGTTCAAGGATATTTGCAGAAATTTTAAGTCTTGTAAATCTATTACCCAGTTTAGGTGTTCCTAATTAGAATTTAGCTAGAAAGGTCTGACGCTGGAAGAAAATCTTGTCTTTCTTTAGGTCTCTCAGTAAATGTGAGCTGAAGCATATCGAGACTGGAATATTTACAGAAATGAAAAATTTATCACAACTGTAAGTATGCCATTTTGATTAAGCAAAACTGCACCTCACAATTCACCTTTGCCGTTATATATTATCTATTTTAGCACTAGGGGAATCCTCACTTACGTCATAGTTCACATTTTTGCTAATTAGCGTACAAGTTAACCTGCATATACAAATTAGGTTCAAAAGTTAAAAAAGCTGGTTAATTTGAGCAGTTTGTGCAATTTTCAGTTTGCAATCAATAAAAAAGGGAATAGAGGCAATCAAAAACTGCGAAATTACTTGGCGGCAAAGGCGTTAACGAGCTCATACATGCTCTCCGAAACTATTGTTGGTTTTCACATGACGTCACTAAAATTCAAACTAAAAAACTATCGATCCTACCGAGAATTACTTTCACGATACATTAGAGCAGCTGAAAACAAATTTTCATACAAATTTTGGCTTCAAAAGGGTTCTTGGTTTTGTAACAGAGTACGCTTGAATTTCTAAGCTTTTGCGTGACGCGGCATTTACATGACGCCCAAGAGAGCTGTCATGTAGGTTAAAAAAATGACTTATTTCAGGTTATTTGGCTATCTAAACAGTTCATGTATTAGAAAAAGTATTACTTTAATGTTTATGAGTTTCTCGAAGGATAAATTCACGCTTTTGTAGCAAATTCGGTAACAGATGTTCCTGTTGGTTTCCGTCCGCCATGTTGGAGCTAATGCAGGTGAGCACCATCATGGCGTCTCCAAACAAATCTCTATAAGTTTGGGTAAAACATTCCTTCGGATATCTCGTATACGAAATATTCCTCTGACCCGAATCTTGCCGAGGGTCTTTGT